ATTTGTGCAAAAAAAAAAAAAATAAAAATAAAAAAGTTCTTAATTGCAATGCTTCCGGCCACAAACGCCCTTCTTGGGGGTGAGGGAGCGGAGGGCCGGCGTCCTGGGGGCTCCCCGCTCGCTTGCCGAGGGCCCAGGGCAGCTGCTGGCATCACGGCCCCTAAACGCTGCGCCGGGGTCGCGCTCTTCTCCTCTGTAGGTCTTAGGCTGTGCGGACATGAGCAGGTAAAGCCCATTTTAGCGTTTGATTTCCGAGCCCAGAAAGCCCATTCTGGTGTTTAATGCCTGCTGGAAGAGCGCACACTTCCTCAGCCGGACAAAGGGTTTTTAAACCCGAAAGCTTGCTAAGAAAATGTTGTTCCAACTACTGAGTTGGTCTAATGGAAGATAACTGGATTTACCCGAAGAGCCTTGTCTGCCTGCTGGGTACCTTGAGCATGGAGATGCCCGTGACGTGGCCAGCCGTATTGGGCCAGAAAGTAACATTCTGCACTAAAAACAGAGCGCCTTTCGTCTTCCTCGAATAGCTGCATTTGTTTCCTTGCCGAGACGCAAGGAGGAGAAGGGAGGGAGAAGTTCGCCTGCTGGAGACAGATGTATCAAGGGGGCTTCAGGCCTGCCCCAGCCCTGCTGCTCGGCAGGGAGAAGTGACCAAGAGGCGGCAGGGGCCGCCGCTCTCACCACAGCCCGCGGGGATGGGGCAGGGGATCTCGCTGCATGTGCTGGATTTAAAACCTCAGCATTGGAAGCCAGCAACAGTTGCTATGGCCCGTAGGCAATATCGACAACTGTGCAAGTGTACGCTGCCTGGTGGGGGATGGATCCGTGCTTCCCAAGCCCTGCGTATCTCCCCATCGCAAGTCCTGTTTGTTCTGGCTTCCCCCGGGGTTCCAGATTCAGCCACTGTGTCATTCCTAAGGCTGGGAGTCAGAGGACTTGGCTTCTGTTGCTGGCTTTGCTTGGGACAAATCTTTCTGTGCCTGTTATCCCAGCCGTAATGTGCAGCTCAGAACTTTTACCCGCCCCGGCCAAACCCCATCGATAGCTACAGACGTTTGAGGTGCAACATTATCATTTGTTAATAACCATAAAAAGTTTCCGTGTGCGGTAAATGTGTTGCTCCGGTATAGCTGCATAAGAGACTGTACAAGGATTGCAGCCCTTTGCACAGCTACATCCACTGAAACGGCTTAAAACACATGGGCTTGACTCTTATTTACATGTGCAGCCCTTCACGCTGCTCTGTTATCAGGCGTGGCCTTAGATGGATGCAAGGCTTATTTACTCTTACTTTAAATTGCCTTTGTACTGGCAAAGAGAAATGAAAATGAGTTCTCTCCCCTTTACTTTTTAGTATCACAGGATTACATCCATGCCTGGGGCTTACATCAATACCACATCTCATACTGGCTGGGAGCAATAAGAGGGAATCCTTTTTTCCCACATATATTTATTCTGCAAAGGCTGTGTCATTGTTCCGGATTGACCTTACCATTCCCTGCCAGGTTCAGACTCGGTATACAAGGTTGCAACCCCGGAGTGAATTATGTGTTTATTTACATACTGTTTGTTTAACCCTGATTACAGGCTCCATCAGTTTGGACCTGCTGCTTAAACTATTCCCTAGTGAACTTTGCTTCATTACTTGATCTTTTCCAGTCTGAGCCAGTGGGATAGAACGATCGAGGCAAACTGAAGATGCGAGACACCCACTGTATGACCATCCCACAGCGCACAAATGTCTGAAGTCATGCAGGAGCTTTCTCATCAGCGCCCACACTCTCGATGCCGCACTCAATAAGACACAACTACAGATGTGGAACGAGAGGCTGAAGAAAATAGCTGACAGTGAAAAAATGTACACTCCAGCAGCTGAGTCCTTACCTCGGGGGCTGATGAACAGTGGCAAAGGTGGCGATGTCTCAACTGCCTACGTATCAGAGTCGCACGTTCCCAGGAACTAATGAAAAAGTGGGGCTATAACATTGGTTCGACCACCTGTGACTGTCACAGAGCTTCAGACTAGGCAATGCCTGCTGCAATGCCCACTGCTTGAAGGCACATGTGCAATGAAAGAGCTTGCAAAGTATAATAAACAAGCACAAGCATGTGTAAAAAAATGGTTAAATGTGATGTAGAGACATGAGAAGAAGAAGTCTGAGCCTAGAGAGCTCAGCCCTCCAATGCATGAAGTGACTCTCTTGGACAGGGAGAGGTGGATGCTCCTCACCTTGAAGAACTCTGTGAACACTGCATAGTGTGGATTGTGGCTGAACCAACTAAGGAAAGGGTCTGACGATATTTGTCAGGAGGTTGTCAGTCAATCCTCAGCTGTGATCCCTGCAGGAACAGGAATCCATCCTGTCTGTCAGTCCTGAGTCTCTACCAGAAGCAACCAACACAGAGCCAGATAAGAGTGGACTTCTACAGTGAACTACTATAGATGTGACTTGCAAAAGATTTTGTTATTAGACAATTTATCCTACAGCTAAGCCTTGGTTGCCCACACAAGCCAGGACAGAGAGGTATTCAACATATCAGGTATATCATTTTAGGGGCTTCCTGAAGTCCTGCTGGCTGGATCTTCTCAAAAAATGGAGACATCTCAAGATCGTGGACAGTTTAGAAAATCCAACCTTTAGTGACTTGCCCAAGATCTCACAGGCAGTTGTGAGGGGTACAAATCATGCCTTTGGACACTTTTCCTGCATTTCCATCCATCTGTCATCCCCAGGGTATTTTTACTGAATTAAGGTCTTTACCTAATAAAATTAACATGGGATTGTAACCCCTTGATTGTCTCCCTGTCTTTGAAGGAGCTTTGAAGTTTAAGGGCCAGAGAAGTTAAGTGAATTGCCCAAGGCTACATAATTAATCAGGAGGCCTAGAATAATTTTCCTGTCACAACAGGCGTAATTCTGCAATGTCTTGTCAGAGCTGGAACCAGCCTGACTTTGGGGTTGTCTAAAAAGGAAGAACCAAAGGTTAGCTGAAGAATTTATCTGCTGAGCATCCCTGTGTGCATGCAGCTGATAACTGTAGGGTTAACTCATCTTCCAAACAACACCTCTGCAGATCACCTTTAACTCTAAGTTTCCTGATTTTTGTGCATTTGAATGTGGTTTTGCTAGCACCGCTTTGTGTGCAAATTATTTAAGGATGTCAGGTCAAGAGGAGTGAGTTCCAAAGTCTGAAATGGATTGTTTCTGCCTGTGCTCCAGGTCACATTTTTTATTGAAGCAGTAATCTATTTTTTCCTGGAAGTCATTGTTTTTTTTAACAAGAAGCTTCAATACTAATTAGAATAGATTGGTTATCCAACACACCCACAGAGGATAACAGATGGACCCAGAAGGAATTCCAAATCGTACTGCACTGGAGAGGCTGAGTTGAAACAAACTTCAGAGCTGGAATGTGTCAGGGACTGCAAGGGCTTCTGTGTAGGGTTTTAGACCCAGATCCTTTGCGCTGCTCTATACAGAGTCCCACAGACTTCAAGGGGGCTTCGAGCAGGCACATAACTACCCACAGACAGCGGCTTGCAGCATCAGGGCTTTGTTGTGTACAAGTGTGTATCATAATGCTGACTGCTCAACAAGTAAAACAAATAGGAAGGTGGAACCGAGGGAGAAGAAGGGGCTGAAGTACGGGTGTGGTATTTGCATCGGCACAGAGAGAAGCAATGCTAAGGGAGTGCAAAGAGATGCTGAATGTTAGATTCAAGTTCGCACTGCGTGAGTTTGCATGATACACACCATGGAGGTGGGCAGGAGCAGATCCTCTTTATTGGCTTGATCCTGAACCTATTTAAACCAGTAAAAGTTTTAGCTCAGTGATGGCAGGATTAGTCCTGACAATCTGTGGCTTTTAGTGGATTTACCTAAGAAAAGGCTTGGAGTGACTAGGTTGTGGGACTTTGAGTGACTTGCTGGGTGTTGTTGCCAGATTTCCCAGTGTATTAAGTAGTGTGTTTCCAACCCAGCTGGCTGCAGGAGCTCTCTCTGGCTGCCCGTTGGTGCCGGGTTTCCAGCTCTCCCTCAGACCTCAGCACGTTAATTGATTCGTTCTTTCCCCCGCTAAACAGCCTGTGAGGATGGTCTGGTAGGTCTAGCTTCTTAAGTTAATACCCTCAACTAGTACCTATGTCAGTATGCACAGCTGCCTAAGTGTCTTTTCACTGGGAAGAGAGACAGATTGCCTTTTCATCCAGCCAGTCCTCTGTTGTCCCTTCTCTGTTCCTGAATTTGTAGCCCTGCTTATCCAAACCAGGTCTCCAGATCATGCAGGATCCAGAACTGTCGGAGCCAATGGCTCTCCCAGAGTCCCATAACAGCCCTTAAGAATAACAGTGTCCTCCTCTCAAGGAGGGCCGAAATTCCCACCTGCCAGTCTTTCTCTAGCCATGAACAAAATTCCAGTACTTGTGGGTACAGCTGGTCAGAACATTTTGACATAATGAACTTTTGTCTAAACACATGGTTTTGTGGAAGCCGAACAAAGATTTTGCTGGGGAAGTTTTTTTTAGGGCTGTCCTGACACTTCTGAATGGCGGCAGAGAAAGAAAAAGAGAGTGAGAGACAAAGAGAAAAAAAAAGGAGAGAGAAAGAGACAGACAGACGGACCAAACTTAAAAAGACAGCTCAGGTTTTTATAGAAAAAAAAGATT